TTTATTACCCAAACCTGGAATGGACAGAAGGACATAAATTAGACAGCAGTTCACTTCCCCGAGGGCGTATGTACAAATCACAGTGATTTCCATTGTGCAACGAACTGACCGGGTGACAAACAGACCTTTCTTGCTGGGTTTTTTCTTTTTACATGAGAAGCTGGGATGGCCCCGGTGGGCCTGCACCACCCGATTCACACCTCGGGGTTGCACCCCCTGGTTCACCCCGCCGGGCTTGCACTACCGGGCTGGCCCTCCAGGGGGCGCGCTAAGCCGTGACCGCGCTCGGCCCCGTGTGCGCCATTCTACAGCCCAGTCGCGGGTTCTAGAAGCATTTTTAGGCAACATGGTGAGGGCGCCCAGAGTGCAGCAGGAGCCACGAGCCTCGGAGGCCAAGGAAGGGGTGTGTGGAGAGGCTGCTGGGGCCCGCGGCTCACGACGCCCAGTGCAATCCTGGCCAGGACTGCACAGGGCAGGCTGCAGCGCTCCGCGGACCCGCTAACCCGCAGGGGCTTCTACCCACACGGGACATTCTCGGGGACTCCGAGGAGCGGCTCCGTCGGATCAAGGCCATAGAGGTGTCTAAGCCAACTGCACACAGAAGCATCATGCTGGGGGCAGACGTGTCCCTCGCAGACACACGCACGTGCACACCCTCCAGCAGAGCACACACACACTCCCCCAGCACGCTCGCTCTGCACACAGGTCATCGAGACTCTGTCCTGTGCTTTTCTGTCTAGGCATCACCCAGGCGGGCTGCACCCATTAGGAGGTCTTCCTGAAGCCCGAGGTTAGCCTGGGTTTTTTTCTTTCTTTCTTTCTTCTTTCTTTCCTTTTAAGGCTTTTGCTATAGGATGCATGTGCTCAGCAGAGACAGAAAGAGGGGAAGTGAGAAATCACCCCCTTAGCTGGATGGCCGGGGCGCAATCCCTCCTCCATTCTGCTCTTGGGGTTTTGGGCTCGCAGGCACATCCGCCCACAGTGTCCTTCAAGCCGCCTCGGGAGACCAGAGCCTTAACCATCATGCCGCACGCTGGTCCAACCTTGGGGTCTCTTACCAACAGGCTTGAGCCAGAGTTTCACAGTTCACACGGCCCATGGCCCAGAGGCGATGGCGCCCACAAAAAGGAACAGCAATTGCGTTGAGGATGGCTGCACAGGGAGCCCCACGGCTGGTTTCCAGGGGGTGGTGATGTCGGCTAAGGGATGGGACGAAACCCGGGACACAGCCGCCAGTGTTGGTGCGGCGGATCCGGCCATCTGCACAGACGGGAAGTAGAGCTTGCAGCTTGAGAATACCACTGGGCCAGCGGAGGGCTTCGTGGCTATGTCGCTGGACTCTCAAGTGTCCGAACGTGGTTCGAGTCCCGGACCCGGAGGTTTGAAACTCACGCCAGGTGCGTGTGCATGCGTGCCCAAGATTCCAAGAAAGAATGGAGGAGAAGGGATTGCAGCGTGGCCATCCCCCCCCCCAGGGGGGTGACTTCTCGCTTTCTGTCTCTCTCTCCAGTGACCGGAAGCACCTTATAGCAAAAATTTGTCTCTCAAAAATATACAATTAAGTAAACAGCATTTTGGATATCACGCCGAGTACAGTCCTTCCCTGAACCTGCTGTTCCTTTTGCTCACCTTCTTCATTTGAAAGAAGGGAGGAAAGAGAAAGACCAAGAAAGAAAAAAAAGAAAGAGAAAAAGAAAAAGGAGAAAGAAGTGAAGAGAGAAGAGCGGAAAGGTGAAAGAATGAGAGGAAAAGTAAGGTTGGTCATGATTTCCCCATAGCGCGCCATGCCATCCCTGTGGGTGGGTGAAAACACGGCTCAGACTCCCGGGGGTGCAGGGACGACAGGGCAGGCAAGGCGGAAGTACAAAGCCACAAGACACATGGCGGCCTTCCGTCCTCCCTGGCTTTACAAATGCTCATGGAAGCAGGCAGAGAGGCCTAGCCCCCTCAGGAAACAAGCCCCCCGCCCCAGCCTACTCCTTCAAGTAGACCCAGTTCCTAAACATCGCCTCCTGAACTCTTCCTTTGAAGAAAGTGCTGCCGGGACCAGCAGATGGCGTCACGGTCCTGTCACTGGACTCCCATGGATTCGAGCACGGTTCGAGTCCCAAACCCGGTGGTTTGAAACTCACACCAGGTATGTATATGTGTGTGTGTGTGTGCGTGTATACCCAAAAATCCCAAGAGAAAAGGGGTTGCGGCGTGGCCGTGCCCCCGGGATATTTTTCTCGCTTTCTGTTTCTCTCTGTGTCTCTCCAGCGAGCACAGACATCCTAAAGCAATCATCTCTCAAAAACAAACAAACGAAAGAAAAGAAAATGTTGCCAACGCATGAAATGACCTAAAAGTTCATGCTGGAGTCCTTAGGGGCCCGGCAGATGGTACAGGGCTTAAGGCGTTCGATTCCCACGTGGCTGACTCTGGTTCAAATCCTGGGTTAGACAGTTTAAAAACCAGGACGGGTGTGTGTGCGTGCATGCCCAAAATCCAGACAAGAGACTGGAGGAGAAAACTACAGTGTGACCATGCCCCTGGGGGGTGATGCTTCACTTTCCCTCTCTCTGTCTCTCTCCCAGGAGCACACGTGCCCTGTAGCAAAAACAAAAACCCTGAGATTCTCTTCTGGCACAAAACGTGGGAATCTGTTCAGGAATCTACCTCGAAGGGACGTGACTGTGTTTGCTCACCGACGTGAACACCTCACAGTGTCCCCCCAGGATGAGCTATTTCCCAGTGACATTTACGACTGCCGTGTGCTTGTGGCCCACTTTGACGAAAGCAGTCTTGACGCGGCATGGCGCCCTCTGGCGGATGACTGGGCCGTGGGCGGGCGCACACGGAGTGTACCACTATGAAGACTGTCATGTGCGTTGGCCGGGACCAGCAGACGGCATCGCGGTCACGTCACTGGGACTCCCACGTAGTCGACCGCAGTTTGAGTCCCGGACCCGGTGGCTTAAACTCACGCCGGGCGCGTGTGCGTGCGTGCCCAAGATCCCGAGAGGAGAATGGAGGAGAAGGGATTGCGGCGTGGCCATCCCCCCTGGGGGTGACTTCTCCTTCCCTCTCACTGTCTCTCTCTCTCTTTCTCTTTCCAGTGAGCACACACGCCCGAAGGCAAAAACCTCAAACAAAAACCATGCGCGTTGGCTGTTGCAGGTGGTTTTCACAGCCTCACACACGTGTGCTTGGAGTCCTTCTCCGTGTTTGATCTGCTCACGAGGCTGGACGCGGATGATGGTTTCAAAGGACGACGTGGTCCGAGCTCTCTCACCTTCCTTTTTCCTGCGCATCTGCTCCAGAACTGGCAGCGGGTTCTGTGTTTCCGTGACGGTCCCCTTCGTCACCACAGCGCATCCGTCACGGCGCACGCAGAGCAAAGGCGGAGAGTGATGAAAGGTAATAACGAGAGTATTAAAAATGCATGCAGGTAACATCGGGCCTGTGGATGCATGAGCCGGTGTGTAACCTTTTCCTGTCTTCGGGGAAGGTGTTTCATTTCTTTCCTTCCGTTTCTTTTTGAAGCAGAGGGCTCCAGGTACTAAGAGTTGTTTCTTTTTCTAGCAGGAGACAAGAGCCTGCTGCTGTGTGCTCTAGGGCTGTCTCTCAGTCCAAAGGGAACCTTCCAACGTGGGCTGATCCAACAGCTCAGGAACGGCGTGTCCAATGGCTCACCTCTTCGGGTCCTCGACTTGTGTTTTCAATTGTAATTTTCACTTATCATTACTAGTATTTTTCAATTCACTACAGGGCACGTACACACACCAGAAAGAGTGACAAAGCAAGCCCCAGGTCCGGGACTCGAACTGTGGTTGGCCATGTGGCAGTCCAGCACCTTAACCACCACACCACCTGCTGACCCCCAGGGGTCAATCCAAACAGGATGAGCACTGAGAAGCACAGGCTGAAAATACAGGGCTGCAGACACTCGCTGCGTTTCCTACCGAGTGATTCATTGTAAGGAACGTCTTTGGGGACCAGCAGATGGCGTAACGGTTTAGTACCCGGACCTGGTGACTTAAAACACTCCGAGAGCGTGTGCGTGCGTGCCCAACATCCTAAGAGAATGGAGAAGGGATGGCGGCGTGGCCATCCCCCCTGGGGGTGATTTCTTGCTTTCTTTCTCTCTGTCTCTCCAAGGAGCACACACGCTCTATAGCAAAAATCTCTGGGTCACATCATGGAGGTCATTGGTTTCTCTCTCTCTTTTCTTTGCACACACGCTGCTATAGGGCGGGTGTGCTCGCCAGAAAGACAGAGAGAGACAGAGAGACAGACAGCGAGAAATCACCCCCCGGGGGGGTGGCCACGCCGCAATCCCTTCTCCTCCATTCTCCGCTCGGGATCTTGGGCATGCACGCACACGCGCCCGGGGTGAGGTTAAGCCACCGGGTCTGGGACTCGAACCACGGTCAACTACATGGGGGTCCAGCGACATAGCCATTGCGCTAACTGCTGGTCCCCAGAACTCATTGGTTTCTTCCTTTCCCCCCCTTAGCTGCACCCATGTGCTTTTGGTGAGATTTCAGATAAGCCTTGTGTTGAAGAGTTGGACATAGGAATGTTTCTTTTTGTCTAGGTTTTTGCTATAGGGCGTGTGCACTCAGTAGAGAGAGAATGAGACAGGAAAAGTGAAAAAAATCCCCCCTGGCCAGCGGAAATGGGCAGACCACAAGCACTTCGGGACTCGGGCCACACACGCACATGCACCTGGCCTGACTTCTTAAGCTGCCCGGTCCAAGATGCAGGCTGTACAGCTGGGCACGTGACACCGAGCACCTGAGCCTCCATGTCGCCTGCTGGACCCTAGACTGGACTTGTAGTAGAGACCCAAAATCTTGGGCATCTGCATTTATTGAGGTTTTTTTTTTTTTTGAGAGAGAGAAAGGTTTTTGCTATAGGGCACGTGCACTCACCAGAAAGAGAGACAGAAAGCGAGAAATCACCCCCCAGGGGGGATGGCCACACCGCAATCCCTTCTCCTCCATTCTCCTCTCGGGATCTTGGGCACACACGCACACGCGCCTGGTGTGAGTTTGAGCCACCGGGTCCGGGACGCGAACCATGGTCGACTCCATGAGAGTTCAGCGACATAGCCATTACACCAACCGCTGGTCCCACTCCTGCCATGTTTGAGTGTGACAGTGCAGCCTTCTTCAGTACAGTCCGTCCCTCAAACACTGTCCCTGTCATCGGGAACTCGCCAAGTGCAGTTACCCCCGGTCTCCCCTTTCCTTCTGGGTTCAAAGGCTGACCTGAGCAGGCAGGAGCCAGGGGGGACACTGGAAGTACAACTCCCGGGCTGTGCTCTTCATAAATAATTATAAAATGCCCAGGCGGTGACAACCAGCGACTCCAGGGCCCTCTCCAGATGTCCCCAAGACAACAGACTCGCGGGGGGACAAGAAGGAAACGCTTTGGAAACATAAAGACCAGACGGTCTGCAAAGGATGACCAGCTACGTCATGGGGAGCATCCCACCGACAAGACATCTCCACGGATGCGCACGCACACGCCGTGGCTGTCATGGAGCACGTCTCGGGCCAACTTGGAAACTGAAGTCTACGAGGAAAACCAAGAACGCACAGGAACCACACGGGAGAGAGGAGGACGCCACATCTACAACCGAACGCTATCCCCTCAACGTCCTCCACGCCGATGTCGACGGCAGGGCCGGCCTTTGGGTGCGCGTGGACACGCGGGCGTGTGGGGACACCCTCATCGTGAGGAGGCGGCGTCTGCTCAGGTCTGCGAACGTGCGGCTCTCGGTCCCAGGCGGGCTCCGTTCTCCCTGCAGGGAGCAACACAAGGGACCTTATGTTAGTTCCCAAATCTAGACACAGTTCGTGTGACTGTTGCCATCCTCATTTTTCTTAAAGAATTATTTAATTTTATTTATTTATTCATTCTATTTTCATTTGACCAGGCAGAGACAGAGAGAGAGAGAGGGAGAGAGGGAAAGTGAGAAAGCAAGCCACCAGGTTTAGGATTCAAACCATGGTCGGCCATGCCAGTCCCGCCATCTTGGTTTTAGTAAGAACATAAATGTTTCCCTTGGGGGCCAGCAGGTGGCGTGGTGGTTAAGGCACTGGATCCCACATGGCTGACCAGAGTTGGAGTCCCAGACCTGGTGGCTTAAAAAACATGCTGGGCACCTGTGCGTGCGTGCTCAAGGTCCCAGGTGGAGAATGGAGGAGAAGGGATTGTGGTGTGGCCATCCCCCCTGGGGGGTGATTTCTTTCTTTCTCACTCTCTTTTTTTAACCCAGGTTTTTGCTACAGGGCACGTACACTTACTTGCCAGAAAGACAGAGAGAGACAGAATGCGAGAAATCACCCCCCAGGGGGGATGGCCACACCACAATCCCTTCTCCTCCATTCTCCTCTCGGGATCTTGGGCACGCACACACATGCGCCCGGTGTGATTTTAAGCCACCAGGCCCGGGACTTGAATTGCAGTCGATTATATGGGAGTCCAGTGACATAACCGTCATGCCATCTGTTGGTCCCAGGAAGGTGATTTCTCACAGTCCCTCTCTCACATGTGTATGCACCCAATGTCAAAAACCTAAAGCCATAGATTACCATGTGATTAAAGGTAGGCATTAAAATAAAATAAAATAAAAGGTTCCTTTTTAATAAGCAGTGACAAAATACTTTCCCAATTCTTATTGCAGAGATCGACAACCCCGAATTCTAAGGGGGAGGAAAGTTGTTTAAGAAAAAGACACTGAGGGTCCAGTAGGAGGCATGGTAGTTGAGTTGATCAACTCCAACATGGCCAACCACGGTTCGAGTCCTGGACGAGGCCACTTGAAACACGCTGGGGACATGTGCGTGCATGCCCAAAATCCCCAGCAGAGAATGGAGGAGAGGGGACTGCAGCGTGGCCACCGGCCCCAGCAGAGAGTTCTCACGTTCCCTCTCTCCGCCATGCTGGTGAGGCCAGGTGCTCGAGGGCAAAAATCGTTCACAAACAAAGACATGGATTGGCACTGTTGTTGTTTGTCTGTTTGTTTAATTCATGACAGGGGCCGACCCAGTAGCGTGGTGGTTGGAAAGCGGGATCCCATGTGTCAAACTGCATGGTTCAAGTCCCATGCCTGGAGACTTAGAAAATACAACCGTGTGTGTGTGTGTGTGTGTGTATGCTCAAAATTCTGGAGGAGAGTGTAGACAGAACGGTGCTTACCCACTTTCTCTCTCTATCCAGTGAGTGCATCCATCCTGTAGCAAACTTAGAAATAACAGCAAGGGACCAGCAGTTGGCGTCATGGGTATGTCACTGGACTCCCATGTAGTCGACCACGGTTCAAGTCCCGGATCCGGTGGCTTAAACTCACACTGGGCGCGTGTGCGTGCGTGCCCAAGATCCCGACAAGAGAATGGAGGAGAAGGGATTGTGGTGTGGCCATCCCCCCTGGGGGGAGATTTCTCGCTTTCTTCCTCTCTGTCTCTGTCTTTCTGGTGAGGGCATGCGCTCTACAGCACAAATCTAAAAACTAAATCAATACATAACAGTCAGGGACCAGCGGGTGGTGTTGTGGTTAGAGTGCTAGGCACCCACATGGACAGCCGTAGTTCAAGTCTCAGACCTTGGCTAGCTTCCATAATTTCCTTGTCTCTCTCTCTCTCTCTCTTCAGGCCAACGAAAAAATAAAAATCATTAAAAGTTAAATAATTTTTAAAATACTTTTTAAATTATTTTTCATTTCTTTTTATCATTTATGTATTTCTTTCCATGTATTTAAAATAAAGACGTACCTTCCAGAGGTGAGCTCCGAGCCTCAGAAATTCTTGAAGATGTCCAGGTCTTTCTGCGGCACAGGAGGGGCTGAGTTCCACTCGTTCTCGGGGTACGTTTCAAAGTTTGAGGTATCGCCATCGCCGGATATCTTGGGTAAAATGGGGGGCTGTGGAATGAGGGCGGAACAGGTCAGGAAGACACGCCGGGCGGGACCCACAGATGGCGTCATGGTTACGTCGCTGGACTCCCACGTAGCCGACTGCGGTTTGTGTCCCAGACCCAGTGGCTTAAACTCACACCGGGCGCGTGTGCGTGCGTGCCCAAGATCCCGAGAGGAGAATGGAGGAGAAGGGATTGCGGCGTGGCCATCCCCCCTGGGGGGTGATTTCTCGCTTTCTGTCTCTGTCTATCTCTCTGGCGAACACAGGTGCACTAGAGCAAAAAATCTCTCTGAAAGAAAAATAATAAAACAAACAAACAAGAAATACATACTGGCCTTTGGGACACACTATACACGACTTAACTTCTGTCCCCTTATTTAAAAAATCAAAACAAGGGACCAGCAGGTGGCGTGGTGGTGAAGGCGCTGGACTCCCATGTGGCCCACCACGGTTCCAACAGAGGCAAGAGGATTGCAGAGTGGCCACCCTTCCTCGCAGGGTGATTTCTCACTTTCCTTCTCTCTGTCACATGCCCTACAGAAAAAGAAAAAAGGAAAAACTTGAAAAAAAATAAAAAGGGGTGGGAAGCCAGCGAGTGGCGTGGGGGTTAACGTGGCTGGATCCCTCGCAACCGATTCCCCGGTTCAAGTCTCAGACCCAGCGGCTTGAAAAGCATACTGTGTATATGAGAGAGAGTGCCCAAAATCTTGAGAGGAGACGGGAGGAAAAGGGATTATGGTGTGGCCATACCCTCTGGGGGCCATGTCTCACCTTCCCTCTCTTTCTCCTCTCTCTGGTGAGAACTCACACACGCTACAGCAAAAACAAAACATAAACAACAGGGAGAAGGTGAGATTCCTCACAGGCACAGAGCTGGTGGCATGCACAGACAACTCTGAAAGGTTCCGATGGAAAAGCTAGCATCAGGAACCAGCCGGCGTCATGGTGGCTATGTCGCTGGACTCCCACGTGGTGGACCGCAGTTCGAGTCCTGAACCCGGCAGCTTAAAACTCACGCCAGGTGCGTGTGCGTGTGTGCCCAGAACCCTGAGAGGAGAATGGAGGAGAAGGGATTGCGGCGTGGCCATCCGCCCTGGGGGGTGATTTCTCCTCTTCTGTCTGTCTGTCTCTGTCTGTCTTTCTGGCGAGCACACGCACCTTATAGCCAAAACCTCTGGAGAAAAACATGAACTACGTTATCAGCCGTCCGTGAGCATGAACGTGTGGCCAACAGCATGACGGTGCACTGAGTCCCCTCCCACGTCTGTCGTACCTTCAATTTTCTCTGCGGGACGGCTTCCCAATCCACAGACCGGAACCACCGGTGCCTCTTGACGTCATTGGCGCCATTCTGCAAAGGCGACGGGAAATGGTCAGGAGGCAGGATGTGGACAGGGCAGGAAAAAGCAGTCCTTCCGGGGGGCCGGCAGGTGGCAGCGTGGTGGTTACAGCCGCTGGACTCCCACACGGCTGACAGTGGCTCGAGTCCCAGACCTGGCAGTTGGCTTTTGCACTCTCTCTCTTTCTCTGTCTCTCTTTGGTGAGTGCAGGTGCCTGACAGGAAATGAAATACTAACAAAATTAAATAAATAACTCTTAGGGAAAAAAACTAGTAAATGCCAGAGTTGGTCTCAAAAGACAGAAGCTTGTTCCAGACACCCGCGAAGACCTCGGGTACCAGATACAAACCTTCATGTTCCCCAGTCTTCTGGTTCTGTCCACCACGAGCAGTTTCTTGATGAGGTCTCTGTGTGGGAGAAAGAGACAAAGCAAGGGACACAGCTTCATACCAACCCCCACCAGCCCAGCGTGCCAACGGAAGGAACATCGACCTCACCCCAGATCTGTGTCGGGGACTGAGTTCAACTCCCATTTTAGCAAAACGTTTCTGGCATGTTAGGGGGTCTTCGATCATTTAGCCAAGACTGGGTCTCCTGGAAATGCAGCCAGAGTGAAGGGAAGACGGTTGATTCAATCTTTGTCATGAAAATGCTTTGGGACCAGCAGTTGGCATAATGGCTATGTGGCTGGACTCCCAAGCAGTTGACCAAGGTTCGAGTCCCGGACCTGGCAGCTTAAACACACGCGTGTGTGTGTGTGCCCAAGATCCCGAGAGGAGAACGGAGGAGAAAGGATTGCAATGTGGCCATCCCCCTGGGGGTGATTTCTTGCTTTCTGTCTCTCTGTCTCTCTGGCGAGTGCACATGCCCTAC